ATCGATACCCTGACCAAGCATGGTCAGGCCATCCTGTGCACGATCCACCAGCCCTCCGCCATGCTCTTCCAGCGTTTCGATCGCTTGTTGTTCCTCGCTAAGGGTGGTAAGACCGTTTACTTTGGCGAAATCGGTGACAAGTCGTCGACTCTTGCTAGCTACTTCGAACGAAATGGTGCCCCCAAACTGCCCACTGAAGCCAACCCAGCTGAATGGATGCTTGAGGTCATTGGTGCTGCCCCTGGATCGCATAGTGATATTGACTGGCCCGCTGTCTGGCGCGAAAGCCCCGAACGTCAGGGGGTACTTGATCACCTTGCTGAGCTGAAGTCTACTCTCTCGCAAAAGCCGGTCGATACTAACAAACAGGACCCTGGCGAGCTCAACGAATTTGCTGCACCCTTCTCTGTTCAATTGTGGGAGTGTTTGACTCGTGTTTTCTCGCAGTACTGGAGAACTCCTGTCTACATCTACTCCAAGATCGCGCTTTGCGTCCTGACATCGCTCTACATTGGTTTCTCCTTCTTCAAGGCGAAGAACAGTGCTCAGGGTCTCCAGAACCAGATGTTCAGTATTTTCATGCTGATGACCATCTTTGGTAACCTTGTTCAGCAAATTCTTCCCAACTTCTGCACCCAGCGTTCGCTATACGAGGCTCGTGAGAGACCCTCTAAGGCCTACTCGTGGAAGGCTTTCATGGCCGCTAACATCATCGTCGAGCTTCCATGGAACGCGCTCATGAGTGTCATTATCTTTGTATGCTGGTACTACCCCATCGGTCTGTACCAGAATGCTGAGCCCACCAACGCCGTCCACGAGCGCGGAGCTTTGATGTTCCTGCTGATCCTGTCCTTCCTCCTGTTCACCTCCACATTCGCGCATATGATCATCGCTGGTATTGAACTCGCTGAAACCGGTGGTAACATTGCCAACTTGCTCTTCTCCCTGTGCCTGATCTTCTGTGGTGTCCTTGCCACACCTTCCCAACTCCCAGGCTTCTGGATCTTCATGTACCGTGTCTCGCCATTCACGTACCTGGTATCAGGCATGTTAGCCACCGGTGTATCAGGCACGACTGCTACCTGCGAAGCTGTTGAATACCTTCACTTCAGCCCTCCTCCTGACACCACCTGCCAGAGCTACATGTCCAACTACATCAGCAGCTACGGCGGCTACCTTGAGAACCCGAATGCCACCTCCGACTGTTCCTTCTGCACGATCTCCAGCACAGACACCTATCTAGCCCAAGTGAACAGCTATTTCAGCGACGCATGGCGCAACTTCGGCCTGATGTGGGTCTACATTGCGTTCAACATCTTCGCTGCCGTGTTCATTTACTGGCTCGCTCGTGTGCCCAAAGGCCAGCGGACCAAGGCATAAAAGTGTGAATTTCTTTGTTTTTTCTTCCTTCTTACTCCCATCCTTTTCTTCTTTGAACATAAATTCTTTGTTCTTGGTAACACTATCATGTATATTGGACATAATGCCTGTTAGATCCTACGTGAGATGGATATTTCGACATGTTTTGCTTATAAGCGTTTGCTAGATTTTCGTTATCATCATCTCTTGCTCATGATACAATATTTCACTCACCTCACCATTATTGTCTCTACTTTTCAATACACTACAGATGTATATGGCATATTAGATCGAATAATAGATACAACAAGCAACTCAATACTCGCTCAGATTATCAAACTCAAATTTTTTCATACTGTACACATTCCTAAACAGAAAGTCATCCTACCAAAACAACCCCCCACCCCTCTAACACCCCTCCAGCAGCCAGCAATGACCACTTCACCTCATCTGACAAGCACCCTTCCCCTCAACGTAGTACAAAAATACCTTAACCCATAATCCTTACTCTTCCACCCCGCCCCGCCCCACCCCACCCCGCTGCTAGTATACGTAAGACCAAGAAACACGCGCCATAGTTACCTAAACTGACTCACTCACGTTCACCTAGTTATTTGTCAGTATGAAGGTGCTCCATTCTCATACAGGAATAAATATCATCCACTGCATCATGTTATCATATCATCTACTGATTGTAGCGTTACACATAAATTATGTTTATGAGACTCCATCTGAATATCCAGAATATGGGTAATCAAATATTATTAGAACCCTACCCCACTTTGAAAAGGGGGAAAAAAAAATAAATAAATACAAAGAGGGATTTTCGACGCCATGATTTTGCATAATAAGAGACTATATGATATCATATACTTATATACATACTTTGTTTGTTACATCGACGGAGTGATGATCATGAGTTACTACATGGGAATGTGCATGAATTGTATGTGGATGGACTGTATAATTTTATATGGCTATATTCTTTTCTGATTTGTGCGGGACCATAGTTACTTAGATCCTTGTATAATGATATATAGTTGTGCATGTGCTGGACAATCTTTCTGAGGGGGTGGTTATTGCATGTGGCCAAAGTGCGTGACAGATATGTGTGTGATGGGTAGGGGGCTCATATGCAGTCGCGAGGATAATAACACCTTAAAACGATATGCCGCTGGAGGTGTATTGCCTGAAAAATCCAAACATAGCTAGCTAGGCTTTGAAGCAATTCGTACCATCGTGTGAAAATACCAACAGAGAACAATTGCCATGGGAAGTGGGACTAATAGAGGGGAAACTAAATATACATCTGAAGTAAATTTTTGAACGAAAGTCGAGAAGAGAAATTTTGGAACAAGAATCGAAGGTTAGTAAAATAAAAGGAATGAATATGTCCCAAGGCAAAGGTGGTGATTTTGTATGGTGGACTACCATGTAAAGGCTTCTTCGGCGAAATCGACGACGGCGCCCATTCCAATGTTGTTACGTGCAGCAGCACGCACCTCGTCTGCGAATGCACCGGGCCCGCAGACAGAGACAATGGTGGCACCCACACGTTGGGGAATGGCCTCGTTGAGAACGACGTCGGGGCGACACCGGCCTGGGAACATTTGGACGGTCGCACTGGGTGATACGATTTCGCGACTGCTTTTTGGTTTGGACACGAAAAGTTTGATAGTAAGAATCTCGCGCCTTGATGGAAGTCGGAGGATCTGGTCCATCCACTCCCGTACCCAGGCTAGATGTTCCGTACTGCGTACAGACCATACGAGGTAGATCTTCTGGGTAGCCACGCGACCCTCTGAAGAGCGTATGAGCAAGTCGCGGACGTATAGCATATGATGGGTAATGCCTGCACCGGCTGAGAAGAGTATAGCTGTACCATAGCTGCCCATGTTGCACGCATGGGACGCATAGGGTCCTTCAATAAGCCCCGAGGTGTAGAGTGTTTGTCCAGGTGAGGCCAGAGCTTTGTTGTACAACTTCCGTGTCATGCCTTGTCGAGCACCAACGATGAGGGAAACGGACGTGGGCTCCTGGGAGTCCCGCATATACTCATCCAAACTAGCAAGTGGCTGCTTTTCGAGAAGCGAAGGGTCGATAAGATCTTTTTCTGTCGTAGCAGGAACGGTCACGGAGCTGCTTGGGTCTACCCAAGCGACAGAAAATGGATGCGACATCCAAAAGGAGACACTTGGAATGTAGGCGTACACATGGCTTCCGGGGCTGATGCGCACACGCTTGGGCAAGTGAAAAGTCACTCTGCAGGCTTCACCTGGGAGGGCTTCCACGACAAGCCGTGTGGACCCTCTTCGGGGAGAGATATTCAAGTACAGCAGTCGACAGAGGCGGGCTGTCCTTTCCAATAGCCAGAGAAGACCCAGCGCTATTATCCACGGCTTTTGCGGGAGATTGTCGAGATCCAAGTGCATCAACACACCAAGGTAGGCTAGGAAAGCGGCGAGCTGGTGCAGATGCAAGAAGGTCTCATAGAAAGCATGCCGGATCGGGGATGGCGAGTGAAGACCCAGTGTGATCATGGAGCAAGTTCCCAGTAGGCCCCAGGTGAAGAAAGGTGTAGTGCGTAAACGCTCGAGCATGTCAGAGAAGCTGACCTCGTCGCAAGCATTTACTGCCCATGCGCACGTGTGCACAATGCTTTCAAGCACGACTATCCGGCCCAACCAACGATGAAGGAGATTATAGGTGTCGAAACTCACATGCAACAAGGGAATAAGCGGATTGTTGCGACCGGCGACGATGAAAAGGGGCACCATGTTCAACACTGCCAAGGTACCTGAACGTCCACGAAGCTCAGCCACAAGGGCTGCCTTGACGTTCGCATTGTAATCAAGCAGAGTACAATAAGCGACCTGACTCGCCAGATATAGCACGACTAGAATCACCTGGAATCTAGAAGGCAGTGTGCCGACGTTGATGGCGGATGAAAGTTGGATTTCTCGGTTGTGCCTCTTCCTGCCCAGGGGCGCATACAACAGATGCTTCTTGACGTTTGCCCAAAGCGAAGATACCTCAACGCTCCAAAAGGTCTGCTCCCTCCTGCTTGCCGTTAGAGAGGTAATTTGACGAAGATAGGCATGGCTGATTTGTCCGACACGCCCGCAAAAGACAACCAGGGCGACGAATATCAAGGACGAGAAGATGATCCGTGAAAACAGAACATCCCGCGGGACATCAACACCGTTCAGACCACGCGAGTATTCATAGACGTAGGTGGCATTAATCCCATAGCCTCGCGGGATGAGTCGATGGTGGGATTCATCCATTGATAGAGAGATCTACGGCCCAGCGTAGCACGCAGTCGCTCAAGATGGAGAGACAGAGCGGACAGATCGGACAGATGTCAACAAAGCTGAGCGGGGGTCGATAAGGGCAGCAAATTCTTGAAAGCCACGATTTCCAATTATAATTCGGTTACGGTCCAGTATGACGCAGATACTGAATGGCTAGGGAACACCAAGAATGTGGGGAGAGGCGCGTTATGCCCAAGGAATCTCAGACGGCAAACCCCCACAGCAAGAGGAGCACGATCAAGTTAAACGGCTCTTGTGTGTGGTTTTGATATACAAAAAGCTCGAGATGTCTCCCCTTCAAATAAGTGCTTGTTGAAGCCGTCCTGATCAGGCGGGAGAGGTGATGATGTTGGTGAGACGGTATGCGCAAATGACCAAGGCGTTGTCACGAGCAATTGCAGCTAAAGGAGCCGAAGAATGTTGGAAACACGGTACGAGGTAGCGAATCTGACGAGTTGGATCTTGCAAGTCCTCCAACATTGAGTCATTACCAGCGTCATAAGTGCTGAGCCAGCCTTCGATCATCACTTACCTCCACTTCCCTACATGCATGATATAAGAAGAAAAATTCCAGCAAGAGGACAGGGGACGCACAGCGTCGTAGAAAGAATCAGATAATTCAAACCGGGAAACTAAAGGTTCCCAAAGATAAGGTACTGTAAAAAAAACCTGACGTCTAGTGTTGTAGTAAAGAAAGTAAATTGCCCACCCCCACGATGAATGACGTTTAGATGTAGCGAGATGTAACCAATGATCGACGGTATCCGAACAAAGAGCGAAGACGGTCTACGCTCAAGAACACGAATGACAATGTCTTGAAACAATAGACTGACTCGCTGAATGGACTGGCCACACAATGAAAGAACGGCCACCAGCCAGCTGGCTCAGAGAAGTGAATGTGTTGGTGGAAATAGAAAGAACGAAATAAGGAACGAAGCACAACCTAGAGTGTAAAGTTGAAGAAAGATCCCCTGTCACCCGAAGGAGATCCACGGCGCAGCAAGAAACTTTAAGCGAAAAGGAAAGTCCAGCGCGGATCATACCTGAGATCATGCTGGAGGCCCAAGGGACCAATGACCCAGTCCACAAAACCTGCTAAAAAAGCAATAATGGCGTGGTCCTGAAGGGGTGTTGCCATGAGCGCCGCCAAGACTGGCCTCTGCGCTTGGTTCCGAACCTATCGAGTGGTCTCTACGGAGCAAAGCGCCCTGAAGGAAATGCATCGTTGTTTCTGATAGAGACAGCCAGCCCTTTGGGCTTGGCCGGTGTTTAGCGCTCTTGGCTTCTATCGACCAACTGCGGAAACGGCCGCTTGCAGGAACATGGCCGACCGAGGGCGTCAACGCAGGCCCTGTTTCCAATCCGCGCCCTCTTACCACCTTTCAATCCCACCTTATGATGCTTCCCATTACCAGCCAATTGTACCAAGTTCACCAGATAGCCGCTGGTGAGCATGATGTATTGGCCTTCGGTCTGGTTTCTCACGTTTCAGGTTCTGCAATTCGGACTGAAACGACCGACCCGTATTGGCCGTGATTTGCATGCTAAGCAGCAGCAACGGCCCACTGGAAATCCACCTACAACACTGCTCTGCTGAAGGGTTAGCTATCATGAACCTGCAGAGAAGGAGCAAAACGGTAGCCTGGGTGTTCCTGTCATCTTTGCTTGAACCCATGGTGAAACAAGGCTATCCATGAACCTCAAGTGGGAGGTGAACTGGAGAAAGACAAAAGAAAGGTGGGTTTGGCGATAAGGAGATTAATTGCCTAGAAAAAGTCACATGGCGGTCACGGGTCTGGTCCCTAGTCTGTCCCTGTTTAATCTAATTTGGTGTCAGTCTATTACTCTACCTTTTCTCCCATTGCCTGCCCACCCTTCTGGATCCTGGGTCCCTGGCGGACCTGCTTCATTATTTTCGGAAGAGTTTTCCTCACTTGCTATTATCTTGGTGGGGTCCCTTGGTAACGGATGAGACTATTTCCAATCTATAACCTTTCCAGGTGCCAGCGGTTCCCCTTGAATCGGTCATTTCATCCGGAGTTTCAATTAAATAATTCCTTTGTGCTCCCTTGGCGCCTAGCATAGAATGCTAGCAGAGATAACCAGTCTATCGCGACGAACGAGTTTCACCTAATATATCCTGAGCAGCCGCTAATCTGGTATGACAGACTAAGGCAAGAATGACCTGATAATAGCATCCTTCAGATATTGATTAGAAACCGCTGAGTACCGCGTGGTGTGAAAGCAAGTGTTTTACATCATTGGTGTATATTCCATCTATCACTTTCAACCAGACCCCTAGCTCAGCAAGGGCAAAAATGCAGACAAAAATAGTCAGGGGAAATAGGGACGAAAAGAAAACATGAAAACAAAAATTGCCGCCACAGAACTTTTTACCGTCCCATCCAACCGCCATCAACTGTGATAATTTCACCTGAGACATAGCTACTCGCTTGACTTGCCAAGAACACTATCACGCCCTTGAAGTCTTCTGGCTTGCCCCATCTTCCTGCCGGGATTCTAGCCATGATACCAGCATTGCGGTTGGAATCATTGATCAGGGCAGTGTTCATATCCGTGGCAATGTATCCGGGAGCAATTGCATTGACGTTGATACCCTTAGCTACCCATTCGTTGGAGAGGGCCTTCGTTAATTGCGCGACGCCTCCCTTTGACGCTGCGTATGCAGGTACCGTGATACCTCCCTGGAAGGTGAGGAGCGATGCGACGTTGATGATGGCTCCACGACGACCAGTTGGGAACTCTGACTCATCTCGCGCCAACAAGTATGCACCGAACTCTCGACATAACGTAAAGACGGACGTCAAATTGACTTGGATAACCTACATAATTCAATAGTCAGTATCTAGTCTTCAGCTCCACTTCAGGAGAAGGGAGGTCCAAAAATAGACAGAAGTAAATAGGTGGCTGAAAAAGGAGACTCTTTGACACATACCTCATCCCAATCTTCATCCGGGAACTTTTCACTGGGGTGTCTCCGTTGAATTCCGGCGCAGTTGAGTAGGATCTCAGGCTTGAGGCCTTGACTGGTCAGAGCTGGAATGACACCCTTGATCGATTCCCGATTCGACAACTCTGCCACGTGGATCCAAGCTTTCCTGCCAATGCGATTGACGATCTCATCGCGAGTCGAAGTGTTCGACTCGTCTCTCTGTTCGTAGAGCGTTAGTTCCACACGACGTTTCGGCATGGCTCCCCTGTCATTTCCGTAGTGCCAATGGGAAGGTCGCGGCTGTGCGCACCTGAATCAAGATGATATCGGCACCAGCTTCGGCAAGGGCAAAAGCCATTGCCTGCCCAATGCCCCTTGTTCCTCCTGTCACGATAGCGGTCTTGCCGCTGAGGGAGAATAACGACGCAACTGCGGCCGACATTGTGATTGTGTCGCGCTTAGATGGTTACTAAGAATAGTAATCTGCTGTCAAGCGTCCTTTCGTTTCTCAAAGTAGTATCGTTAGAGGTGTATCTTGCTGTGCAGCTCAGCGAGGGGGGAATCGTCTTCCAAATTCTCTTGCCACCAAATCAGTAATCGATGGCGACCAGTCATCCTTACTGTCCTGCTAATAATAAATAGCTGTCCCTCTTCCTCCGCGCGCGGGGCAGCAGCGACTAATTCCCTTTTGGGGTAATTACATTGCCGACACAGCGCTTCAAACGCCGACGCCCCGCATTCGGCTATTGAACTTTGTTCGGGGATGCTCCGGTTTGCGTCTTGTATGGTAACTCGTACAAATGACATCTCATGGAGTTTGGGGTGTATGGAAATGCTGGTTTCTTTGGCAAAAGGCACGGAATAATCCGGAAAATCATCTATGCTAATGCATTATCCCAGGAAAGTGTACAGAGTATGAGGTCATGCATTGAACATTTCCGTAATTGGTGTGTGGGAGCTGCGTGGCCATTTTAGACGATTGTTTGTACAAGCATCATTGCCTTGCATTCCACCATCCAATAAGCGGATCAATAAAGCAATTTAATCTATCTCGCTGATAGCTCTCAGGAATCTGATAAGCTAGGTGGCTCAATCATCTTTAAAGCTAATGATCTGGGGTTTAGTGATTCTCACAGATGCATTAGACAGACATTAGATGGATTCCTCATATGGTCTGCTGCAGGCTTTGTAGTATATATCCATGTGCTTGCCACCAGAGGCACCCCATCAGCTTTTCAACGAGAACCTAGGCTGCTATGATTTCAGCATCATGCAGTCAGTACTTCTGATTGAATTCAAAAGCAGCGCACGAACTAGCTCTAAAGATTGAATTAAGCTTAAACTCTTCGTCGAGATCAACAGCTGCCCGGTCTTGCATAGTGAAAGCCTTGGATTGCCGACTCGTTGAATACCCGTATGTATGGGATGAGTAATACCAGATTATTCCTTGGCCGTGGGTCAGGAAAAAACGCAATGCTCACAAGTCTGCAGCGTTTACAAATCCTTCCCCCCCGCAGCCTGGCCCTTCTCGACTGCTGAGTCGATGATTTGGGGTTACGAGGCGGATTATCACTTAGTGCGCAATTTGTACAGACTTGCTGGTGCCTTAAAAGCCAACTTGTGTGGGGAAGCCACGAGCGCCCGTCCGGAGCTCAAGTTACCCCAACAATCATATAGGAACTGTTCGGAGTCGAACAACACCCCGAGATCTCTCTTACACTACTCTGCAGAGAGTTCAACCTTGTTTCCTAGCATCAGGAGGAAAACATTCCCGACAATTCGTCTCTTACACTTTCCATCTTTGCAAGCAAAAATTGCAGGAGTGAATTTCTGACGCGTTTCGTTCCCAGGCCGGCCTGTCAGCACTGCTGGAATGAGATGTCGCATTGACATTCTATCACTTGACGCTGTAAGCTGAAGAGGCTAATGTGCTGTATGCAGCGATGGAGCAAGAAGATCAATCTCCGCCAGTCGAAGGGACCCCGACGTCAAGAGCCAAGGCCCGTTCAGATCATTTAATGAAACGCGTGTCAAGAGCATGTCTGCATTGTAGACAGCGCAAGTCGAAATGCGACCTGTAAGTCATGACTGTGACAGACGTTTCTCCCTCTATTTTTTTTCCCACGTTATTTCGGTCCAGCTTTTCCTGCCTGTCAGTGATCTTGGGAGGCTAATTACAATGTAACACAGGGATAGTAGTGGCAGCCCGGGAGTCCCACCATGTCAGCGGTGTATCAGGGATAACCGTGAATGTGTCCTAGGCAGTTCCAATCGAGGGGGACGGCGGATTCGCAAGAATAAAATCAAAAATTTCACACCAGACAGCAATTCTTCTGTGCGAAGGGATTCCGTCATTGAGGCACCAAGCCCTTCCAATTCAGAGACTCGTCAAACGACGTCTAGTTCTTACCCTGGTCCCGTTGTCTTCCTACCCCCTGATCCGCCGACCGCAACTTCAATCTCCGTTGATGATGATGAAGACGAAGCTTCTATCGGCGATGTTCCCCGCAATCCGTCTGATGCCTGGCAGTGTCTGACGGGCATTGCGAAGAGAGGTACAGAAGACCCGAGCGCCGAAACGGGCGTCGAACCTCTGCGTACAGGACCCAGTGCATTCTCATCATACACGGCACTTCAAGACAGTTCTGTTACTGGGTTTCAGTCAAATAGCGGCATCAAAGCGTACAGGCTAGTTCAATCACGCTCACTAGATCCGGGAACGGTATGGCAGTTAGTGGTTCGCTACGCTGAAAACTTCCATCCGTACCTTCCTTTGGTGCCACGAAAGTACTTTGATCGCAGTGCGCTAGATGCATTTGCTAATAACGAGAAGCATCTGCTTACTGCCGTCCTCACAATTGCTTCGAAAGATCTAGCCGAACGGCCGGAGATCCACGAGTACTGTTCTAAGTACATGCATGAGCTGATATCTGGAATTGCTGCTGGAGCCGATTGCGATGTTGAAGCTGTGGAGGCTCTTCTTATTTTGGCGGAATGGGAACCCCAAGGCCTCCGACCGCGCATTGAACGTGTAGGCCGTGGAGAGGAAGATCGAGCTGCCTGGATGCATGTAGGGCTCGCCTTGCGATCTGGTTGGTTTCTTGGCCTAGACAGGACGTCATTCAGAGGCGATTCTTCTGGAGACGCGGAGACAGAAGCTCGTAGGCGGCTAGCATGGACGAGCTGCTACGTATCGGACCGATTGATATCTGTTCGTATTGGACGTGCTTTCTGGTCTCGCGGGCCGGGTCCGATGACTGGCCTTGTCAGCCAAGACTTTCCATCGTTGCAACCCGCTAGAGACGGTGATGAGGATTATGCGAAGATATTTCAGGCTACCCTGGATCTGACGCAACTTTACGGAAATGTTCACGATGTGCTCTATTCTGGCATGCGTACGAGCAATCAAATGATGCTCATGGGCGACTATGTTAAGTACGTGGATGATTTTCGCCTTGCAATCTTGCGATGGAAGTCTATCTGGGGTTCTCTGTCCTGTGAGTGTCAGCTCCGACGAAGTTTGGCCTGATTGACTGACATTTCGTAGGTTCGCCGCCAATGAAAGCCACGTTACAGCTGTCCTACGAATACCTGAGGCTATACACAAACGCTTTTGCCTTCCAGGCGGCAATATCCCAGTCACTTGTGTCCAAGATCAGGAACGATGACAAGGCTCAAAGAGATCATCTGCGAGCAACGTTTAACAATGTAGCCTCGATGCAGGATGCTCGGTTTATCTATGAATCGGTCGATGCCGCAAAAACATACCTGACCATCCTTGTTGATGTGGTTCACCCAGAAAAGCATCTTCATTTTATGCCGTTGAGGTACTATTTATACGGGATCTACGCAGCCGTATTTCTGTACAAGGTAATTTCATTTATTATACGAATGTACATGTGGGTAACTAACAGTGCATTCAAGGCACGCTCATTCGGAGTAATGTCTCACTTGGAGGAGCTGAAAGTGCGGGATCTCGTGACGCGGACCACCGAAGTACTGAAGAGAGCAAGCGCTGGATCGGATGATATAGGATCGCGTTATTCTCGACTCCTTGAACTCCTTTGGAAACAGAAGTCGATGGCACCAACTTCACCAGCCGGAACCCATCAAAGCGGTGATGTCCTGATGCAGAGTAACAGCGCATTATCGCACCATTTGTCCGATCAAAGCAGCTACGTGCACTTCAGCCCTGCGAATGACTTCTCATGGCTGGATCTCGAAGCCGTTGGGGATTACGTCTCTGGGGATCAAATATCGGGAGCCAACACACTCGCATTAGATACCTTCCAGAACCAGGACATCTTGCAAGCGGGACAAGAGCGATCCCAGGCATGGCAGATTCCATGGTCGGGCGACATGAGCAGTAGCCTTCTCTTCTGATTTCTATGTCTCGCAAGATGGAGCGCAATCAAAAACTACCCTTACCCCCGCCCATTGAAGTAATTCATGTTTTTCTGGCGGCTCTGGTTGAAGACCCCACGGCGGTGCGGGGCTGTGGGGGGCGCCGGGATGGTACCGACGTGAGGCTAGATACTATCACATCGCTCGCATCGAAGCACGGCTATAAAAGGTGGCCTGCTTGTTTGGTATGATGGTGGCCCGATTGCGCTTCTGTTGATCTAGCTAATGGTTTCACGAACGCCTACAGGCCGATTGAGTTAGCTACCTGACTGATCACTGCTCATGCGGATGTCATTGCTGCAAAGCCTTTGTTCGATGCATACGGCCACGTAAGTTGCATGTGCGTGCTACATTATTTGTAGCCTAAACAGGCTACTATGACGGAGGAAATAAACATCAATTGTCGCATATACCTCGATCATGGCAGCGACAAGGGTCGGCCGGTGGGCAGCATATGGTGACACTCCTACTTACCTCATCAAGCGCGCGCTGCAAGGAGAATGGTGCCTTAAGCTTATGGATCTTAGACGAAAGCCTCTACAGTTTCAAGTAGGCTTTTTCGCTGACAGAACTCGGGAGATTGAGTGGTTGTCATTCCCTGAGGGTTGTATCCACGATTTCTGGGCGACGACCAGCTTTGGGAGCCAGCTGCTAAGAGGAGTATTAGATGGTGCAGGGGAAGGCTAGCAGATGCAGTTGCATGCAGCACCGCTATTTAGTGTGCATCTAAACTCTATTTGTCTACTATATAACAACCCTGCTCCTCAAGCTTGGGGATGCCACAGTTTGATGCATATATTGCCTTATGTCGAAACCCCTGGTGCTAAAAAGAGCGAGCGCTTGGAAAACGTCTTGGTCTCAAATCATGCCAAATCTCAGTGAAGCCGATTATGGGGCTGCTGCAAAGTCTTTCAGTCATACCGGTCATATCAGCATTCAGCCTCTCAAACGTGGGGAAGGGCGGGCATTCTCCGCATCGGGATTTGAGGCCGAGCGTCGATAGCCGACAGTGAACTGGAAGGATACGCCGGTCTCTCCACGGCCAGAAAGGAATACGAAACAGTCTTCGTTTTGATTGACGCTAGCTTGTAGCCTCATGATATATACTATGAATTCATAGTCAATGGCGGAGACGGATGTTTTCAGCATGTTTTGCACTGATATCAGTTTTGATGTAGTTATCAGTTGCCGAAATAATTGACCAGTTGGTAAAAGGGCATTAACTGCAGGGTGAATGAGCTGACTATGTATCCCAAATAGGTTTAGCGTCTGTCTGAACTAGAACATGATTCTATCATGCGACAACGATGAACAAAACGGCCAGCACCTCACTCCTTTAAGAAAAGGAAAATGACAGCATTACATTTAACGAATATGACATTTAGTTACTGAGAATAAGCAATGTAGATACTTATAAAGCCATCGATCGACGAAATTGACATCGAAGCAGACAATGAAGTTCCTACGGACCGAAAGCTACAGGGCAATACTGCCGGGCGGTGAAGCGGACACTTGCCCCAAGCCGCTTAGTGTTAGGGCTCCGATACCCTAGGCGGGCGCCAAGAGCGAAAAAGCGCACCACAACGAGCGAGCCTCGCGATCTCAAGTTCCAGCGGCCGACGACAGGAAAACGACAAAACTTCTCACCCGACATCGAGGACCACCCGCTCGGCAACCACATCAAGATGGTGAGTGCTATATTCGCGTTTGCTGCTATCGGTGGAAAACGGACATGTCAAAAAAGCAAGGGAAAAAAGATATCGTGAAAAGAAAGAACCGCTGCCCAACCTCTCGTTGTACCGGAATCCCTATCTATCATCTTCGATCCTGCGTTTTGGCCGATGAAGGAAAACTTCATACCGAACAATTTTCGACTCTCTCTCCCCCTGCTATGATGAACATCCGTCCACCGATATGCATATTTTATATGGAATTATGTGCTTGGGAAAGAGGAAACGAAGAAATGATATAAGAGGGATTGAATGAATGGTCTTGCTGATTGTTGGATTTTTCTTGTCGCCATCAGGTCCGTTACGCTGCTCAGGACATTCCGGCCGCTAAGAGCGCCCGCGCTCGGGGCTCTTACCTCCGTGTCAGCTTCAAGAACACCCGTGAGACCGCTCAGGCTATCAACGGCATGAAGCTGCAGCGTGCCCTTACCTTCCTCACCAACGTCACCGAGAAGGCTGAGGCCGTCCCCATGCGTCGGTACGCTGGCAGCACCGGTCGCTGCGCTCAGGGTGAGTGGATGTGTTTTTCTACAGAGTTTTTGGAAAGAGATGGGAATGGAAATTATGGGTCGACAAAATGAACCGACATGGGCAGAAATTTAAGGGATGGAAGGACTGGAGGATATGATTGCGGAGGATCTGGCAAAAACCAAGCGTTTTGGTAAACGAAGACGCTGACCGTCTTCTTTCTCTCTAGGCAAGCAGTGGGGTGTCAGCAAGGCTCGCTGGCCCGTCAAGTCCGCCGAGTTCCTTCTCGACCTCCTCAAGAACGCTGAGGCCAACGCCGACACCAAGGGTCTCGACACCGGCAACCTTGTTGTCAAGCACATCCAGGTCAACCAGGCTCCCAAGGGTCGCCGCCGTACCTACCGTGCTCACGGTCGTGTATGTTAAAACCGGAATCCGAGATATATCTCTTATGTCACGCATCCCCGCAAAACTGACATATGGATTAGATCAACCCCTACATGACCAACCCCTGCCACATCGAGCTCATCCTCACCGAGGCTGAGGAGACCGTCGCCAAGGCCGCCGAAAACAAGGAGGTCCGCCTCAGCTCCCGCCAGCGTGGTGCTCAGCTCCGCCGTGCTCTCATTGAGGCATAAGCGGTGTGTGGGTGTCGGGGAAAGTGTGAAGTGGTCAGAAACTGAATGGGAATGCCGGAGTTTGCTGTTGTACGGATCCAATACCTGGTCACGGAAGGAATACAAAAGAAATTATTACTTTTTTGACAAATGGAAAAAATTCGAAACCACCCGGCGAAAAAAATGATGGTGATGATGATGGTTTGTCTTCTGCTTTATGCAGAGACAAACATCTTTCTTTAGACATTGATCTCGTTTCATCCCCCGGAGAATCGGTTCGACTGGACAGTTTTTCCTTTGCAGTCCCTGGCCATGAGCTAAGGTGGCTGAAAGGAGTCCAGGGAAAATTATTCCTTCATTTTAGTGGATACTACTACATGGATGGCGTACATCGGTACGGCAGGTTTCGGACATTCTCCTACTTCAGGACACTTTTTGCGAGCGTTTAATTCATGATGGGATACGGAATTCATTTTTCATGAAGTTGTAAAGAAGACCAAGGAAGGATGATGGAAGTTCATCATCAGCCCTGCCAGTCGGACAGGATCGATCTACAAGCGTAGGATGATAAGGATTCCGTAGTACTAGTAGAAATTGGCTACTTTGCCAGTCCGTCATAGGTCTGTCTGTTCTAGTCTCCGACAAAGAGTCCTTTGGGGGCCCTACGCTGTGCATTTGTAACAGTCAACTGCGCCACAGCTGCTAGACCCTCTGATCTGCAGGCTGCAGCGTGTGGACAGGCATCCCCCGACTCCAGAACTCCATCTTCCCCCGTCAGCAGGTTGCATATGGGCAGGTCAGAGGGGAGGGAACTCTGGCTCAGCCAAGCGTGGCTGTGTGTGTGACCATCAACCCGTCACAGGCTCCAATCGGCCCTTGCGAACAGACCATCAGGCAAAGCTTTTCCCGTGTCGATGGGATTCTTCGTCCAATGCGGCCTTTTATCCCGACGAGGCATTCGCATCCCCATGACGACTGGAAAACTATGCTTAACGGACAATGGGGGGAGCCAACCTGCATACGTAGTTGTATGCGGTTGGTTGCGCTGACAGTGCGGGATGGTGTACGCATTGCAGAGTCTTGGTAGTCAAGCAGGCATCAAGATTCATAGGCAGACGTGGATCTTATTCTCTTGACTTCTCTACGTCAGTTCTGGATCGTCCCAAGAAACGCAAACAAGAGCGCTTGCGTGTCGCCGACAAAGCGCATTGCCACCGGATCAACTGCTTCAGAACATCAAGCAAAACAGAAGAGGTTTCGGGAGTGATGGGATGGATGGATGGATGGATGGATTGACTCTAATCTTGACTAAAATCTAAGTTTGGTTTAAAGGACCCTCCGCTGCTTTTTGCTCCCCGCGGCGCTTAAACCGGCCCTGCGAGGCTGCGACGTCTTTTTTAGTCTCGTTTGCTTGACGGCCCCCTTTCTTACTACTTAAATTTTTCGCCAACCCCATTTCCTACTGTCTATCTCTACCCAGCTGTGGTAGCTTGCGACAAGTCATCATGAAGCGCATCTTCAATTCCTTCAGCAGGCGATCCAGTGAGTTTCACTCTCCCACCCGTTGCTGATCGGCATGCGACGGTTGACAATGCTCACCTCGGAACAGGTCCCGCGCGCGACTCCCCTTCGTACCCCGAGGACTCTCCGGAAGGTATCATACTTAGAGAAGTGGTTCGTATTGATTCAAAGCTGTCATTTGGGCTCGTCCAACTAACCACATCTACGGTTTATAGACCGCGTTCTGCGAATCAGGCCCCAACAGCGCCGTATGTCCCACCCTGCGGACCCCCTCCCCCTTCCTTAATCGCCTCATTCCCATTCCCCGCCTGCTTAATAGAGACCGTACTTACAATGACATATTCAGAATGGAGACGAGTTCGTTCACCTTCCTGCCATTGTTGAGAGTGCCGAATCCAGCCCCAACGCCGCCCGCGAAGCCGCCCTTCGCATCTCCAAGCTGTTGTCCAATCCCGCCAAAGCCCGGAGCAATGTGCAGTACAATGCGATCATGCTCATGCGCATCCTCATCGACAATCCAGGACATACCTTTTCGCGAAACATCGACGCCAAGTTCGTGGCGACTTTGAAGGACCTCTTCCGTAACGGGCGGGATATGAACGTACACAGCTTTTTGCGGGACACGTTGGATTCTTTGGAAATGCAGCGGGCATGGGACGAAGATCTCGCGCTGCTCCTGGGGATGTGGAGCAAGGAGAAGGAAAAGTATGCACCTAAGAATACAGGTAATGTATGTGACAGACATCCCTCTACTTTGTCTCTACTTGTTCAAAGCTTCGCCAAGCTAATCTTATGATTCCCTACAGCCCGGCTTGACACAACCCCTGGTTCAGCCATACCGACAAACCCCGAACTACTTCAACACCCCCAACCAGAACCAGCATGGCGGACTACCACAGCCTGAAGAGCTCTCCGCACGCATCTCCGAGGCCAAGACATCCGCGAAGCTCCTCATTCAATTCGTCCAATCCACGCCTCCGGCCGAGATGCTCGAGAACGAGCTCATCAAAGAGTTCTCCGACCGGTGTCGCACCGCCTCCCGTTTCATCCAGAACTACATCCATGCCACAAATCCCGCCCCAGACGAGGATACCCTCGTGACGTTGATCGAAACCAACGACGAACTATCCGTCGCCCTGTCCAAGCACCAGCACGCCTTGCTCCAGGCGCGTCGCGCCCAGGGACAATCCGGCAGCCAGTCGCCTGCATCTTCCAGTCAGGCCTCATCCTCCGGCGCCGTGCAACCCCCAGCCCCGGCAGCAGCAGGATCTTCTGCACCGCCAGTTCCGCCTCGGAACCAAACGCAAAGCCCGCTATCCTCGGGCTCTTCCTCGACTGCTCCGGTCCTTCCGCGCACGTATAGCAACGGCGCAGGCCGGTTCGAGTACCGGTCGGAGGATTACCAGGTGCAGAACCCGTTTGCTGATACTAGCGCTACTGCTGCTACTGGTGCTGCTCCTGTGGCTCCTGCGGTATATGGTGATCAGCAGCAGGCTCGCCCGGAGGGGTCATCTCCTGATTGGTGGGCGGAGGGACAGCAGCAGCAGCAGCAGCAGCAGCAGCGACCGGTACAGCAACATTATTAAGATTGTATGGATTGGAAGGTGGTAATTTGATGACGATTATTATTGTTTGACTTTTGATGTATCGATACCTTTTGTGATACCTCTACCGCGAAATGAATTTGATTTGCCAGATGTGCTTGTTTGGTACGTTAGTATTTAAGAAGTGCCTATTGACATAAACACAGTATATCAGTAGGCAGTTTATCTAGTAAGACATTGTAGTGCGATAAAGCTTATTAGCGGGGTATCACTTCGTAGTGCTTACTGCTATAGTGTTGACAATATGGAACATAGGGGAGGGGCTATCTGCCTCGTGGCTTTGACGACTACTGTAACTTTCACTTTTCGCTAGATATTTTGATCTAGGTGGATTGTCTATTAATAATAGATTTATCTAATATGTATTTGTATGCTTAAAAAAGCTATAGATGTAAGTACATTACTACCCTGTTTTTCTATGCTCCTCCCGCACTACTAAGTACTACATTCATTGTACTATCCTCATGCGGGAAAACAAACCATACCATCGCCATCATCCATTTACAAGACAACCCTACTACTACTGTCTAACTAACAACATTGACGAGCCATATAAATATACAATAATCTACGTCTATAGTCTCCCTGTGAGCATTTAATCACACCACACTTATCGGGTGTTCTCACTACAATACAACTGCTGTGCTCTGCCGGTTATAGAATAATCAGCAGCCAAACAAGCACCCTTCAATCTTGAGGACTTTATGCAAAATCTACATCTTTACTACTCGTTTACATGACACAAACTCAATATACAGGCACATCTATTCACACCACCACTCTATCTAACAGCAACTAGTAACTATCTATACACCGCACCATCTTAGTTAGCGTACTTAAGGAGAGCCTTAAGCAGGCTAGCAACCCAAGTGAGCTGCTCCTCAGCGGTACCATCAGTAGGGATGGAGACACCCGAGGAAGCAGCAGCAGCAGCAGCAGCAGCGCTAGAAGCAGCAACAGGGGCGACGGTAGCGCTCTGCTTCACGCTAGTAGCGAGGGTAGTAGGGACGCTAGAGGAAGCGGGAGCGACGTTGTTGGCGGTGCTAGGGGTAGTGACAGCGGCGGCGGCAGCAGTGGTGGTAGTTTGCTGGCTGGCAGCGGCGGAAGAAGAAGACGAAGACGAAGAAGAGGAAGAAGAAGAGCCAGAGCCAGCAACAGTAAAGTCAATGCAAGACTCATAAGTCTGATCAATGGAAGCAGCGTTCCACCACCACTGAAGAACACAAGCACCGCCCTCGGTACACTTATCACCGAGATCATCGGGGATGGTGACGCTGAAGCTAGTCTCGTTGGCAGTGACACCGGTAGCGGTGGAGGCGTAAACGCTCCAGTAGATCAGAGGGGAGCCGATGACGGTGTTGGAGGCAGTGTCAACGACGGAGACGTTGGCGGTACCGGTGTGAGGAGCGCGAATGTCGACGGTGAAATCGACGGTCTCACCGGCCTTGTACGAGTAGACGTTGTCCTTGTTGTCGGCGTACTTGTAACCCTTGCAGAGCCAGATGTCACAGGCGTCGGCGTCGTAGTCGCTCTGGCCCGAGGCGATCTGAAGCTCACCCTGCACGTTGCCGTAGTTGTCGGCCTCCTGGTTGTTGTACACTTGCTGGCCACAGGCCTTCTCCATGGCGCTACCGGGCATACGGGCCTGAGGGGAGGTGACGAATCCGTGACCCTGGGCAAGGGAGACGAGCCCGGCGAGGGCGAGGATGGAACCAGCCTGCTTCATTTTGGTGGGAAGGTTTTTGGTTTTGTAGGAGAGAAAAGAATAAAGATAGTGTAAGGTCTGGTATACCGGTATACCAGATGGGATGTTTTTCAAGGAATGGAGTTTTGTGGAAAGAATGTGACGGTCACAGACCGGGGAAAAGAGAATGTGGGAAAGAGAGAAGTGAAAGAACTTAGACAAGCCTGCGTGCTGAAGGAAAAGAAGAGAGGAAGAGATGAGGGCGACGAGACGGCCGTTCTATATAGGCCGTTGAAGTCGGCCGGGGCGTTCTGGACCTGAACAAAGCTCTCCATCATGATCGATCGTGAAACGGTTCTAGCATCGTCGAGAGGGCCCTCCCAAAAGTCCCTGAAGATAATAATGACAGGGGAGACACTCCACCGGGAACTGGAGACTGACTGGACTGGCTCAAGCGCTGGCAGCAGCGCAGAGGTTTCATCTTGAGGGGCGTTGAAACGGTGGGTGGAGATGAATTCAACGCCGGCGGATTGACCGGGATGCTTGGCATCGCATGGGTTTCAGCTTCATTAATGCCGCGCCTGATCACTGCCAACCATTTGCTCTCTCTCTCCCTTTTTTTTTTTTTCTTTTCTCGGTGACCCTCCGGTTGTGCTTTTTCCTGTCTTGCATCTATAATGCTGCTTTCCTCTTCCTTCCTTCATTTCCGAAAGGGGCCCTCCCCCGTCATAATTGGATCTAGTCTACTCCCCATTTTGGCTTTTAGACTCGGGCCAAGGTTCGGGTTCCATCCGGAACGGCGCCAATCAAAGCCATGGCACCAGTCGGGACTCAATTTACTCCCGACAAGCATCAGCCCTGGCGTTATAGCAAGTTAGCAACAGCAGGGTTGAGGATGCTGGTATTCTTTCTTGGCTCGGACGTTGTCCACCCACATGTCTTGCCCTGGTTCATACATCTCATACCATTCACTCCTCAGGTGCTTCCTCCACTTTTCCTAGCAGGGTAAGGAGTACTGCATATCTCTGCTCCAACCAGGATGAGGATTTTTCCAAACCCCGGCCCCCTCTCCCCCTACATGGCAGGATTAATTTATTGATCAAGTCAGCAGATTGCTTTCTGTTCTTGCAAGTGCGAACGGTGAAAGGCTTCTCATCTGTCTCTGGATGCCGCCCGTCATTCAATAGTGCTGGCTTCAAGGTCCTTCTGGTTGGCCAAGCGATATGGCAGGTAGTGTTTCTGCTCCTGTGCTCATCCTTTGCAAGAAGCAACAGAATACTCCCGCAGATTTCATGAGGGTCATCTGATCAATCCAATCCGCTGGTGCCCAAGTCGGAACTCGATGGTATTGGGAACTGCAAATTCCCAGACACTGTCCTCCAGGTCGACCTCACACTACACTGGATGACCATACTGATCAGTCATTCTGGCCGATCGAACTCAACCAGCTCTAAGCCCTCTACTTTCAAAGGAAAGGAACTGGGGAAATCTTCGTTCTTTACACACATACAAATCCAAAGAAATGCAGATACGTATCCAGCATCGCACTGCTGCAATGCCAACCACTGAGAACTTGAGACAGATCAAATTGTGCTAACACTCAGAGATGGACACAGCTACATTAACTTCCAGTCAAACAAATAGCCACCGGTCCTCCCAGCTACACAGCCGAGTCAGGTTAGCCCTACCCTACGATGGAAAGAACCCCGAAAGCACCACCTCTCTTACCAAACAACACACACACACACATGACTGCGATCATGCGATCATATTTAATTCAACGAAAGAGAGAAAGAGAGAGAGCGTAACACTACCTTCCTTTCGCTCTACGACTACAATTCCCTCATTTCCCTTCCCCAAAGAACCATCCGCGCCCTAGAACATCAATGCAATAGAGTAATATCAGCATGCCTCTGCGCCCTTACTCATACAACCGAAAACAAAAGACCCTATATCCCTACCTCATCCATAATTTTACTCAATACTAGAGTCAATAGAACTAAATCATACTTCTTAATATCAAGAGAATAACCAACCACTGAACCATTCATAAACAACCAGAAGAAAACCTAAACAAACTGATCACACATCACAGAACAGTAAGCAAACTAGGTAATCTATCTGATTGATTGACTACAACCCTACTCATCTCCAACCCAACCATCCCAAGTAACCCACCTTAAACACAGACTGAGTGTAGGAAGACCCCTAATTATCAAACAATTAATAAATTTCTCAATAGACCTATTCATATCTGTTATTCAACAATACCCCACTACCCACATATTCATTCACAGGTACTCTTCAGCCAAGCTAATCAATGAAATAAACTACCTGCATAATAGCCATTGTACCATATACTGCAATAGGGTAATAAATGAATACAATGAATAAACACAATGTACAATGCAGAATAACTGAAAGAAATGTAACAATCATCCATCTGCTGGGATCCACATTGTTGGTTTGTATCTTTGTCTCTCTCGTGATGTTGGTCGTGTGGGTTGTTATTGTCGTGGCTTTTGGGTGTGATACGTAGTGAGTAACACCAAAGAATGATGATAATAAGAGAAAGAGGGACTTAGATGGAAGAATTAGTTGATAATACAGATACGGAATAGTGGAAAGATGGGTGGGATAGTCAGAGGAGGTTGGGGAGAGATGAAACGGTCTATTGTAGATGGATTATTTTAACTATCGTCGTTTATCTACTAAGAATTAGGAGGTAGTGACGGAGGGACAATGTTAATGCCCATGGGGGTATGGAATGTATCAATGTCAATGAACCATGTAAAGCGAAGAACTACGATTAACTTCGTCATAGTATGATAGAAACAATCTGATCATTGACTTTTATTTCAACTACTGTATAGCTACATGCGAATCCCCTCTACTGCTACCACCCCCACCACCTCAATTACCAAGCCAGTATGGAACAAATAGATGTAACGAATGGGAGTGAGAATAGAAGGATAAAATGATTGGACGTAGGCAAAAATATAAAATGTAACAACAAAGTGGTATATCCGTATGTGTTCCCCAACAATCAATCAACCATCCCAAATGCATCTAAGATCCCTTCCCTCCAAGGGCATCGAGGAAACAAATAACTGCTTTATCACTGTATGTATGTATTGTCTCTGATGTAAAAGCACAAATTAAATAGATGACGATTGCTCGAACAAGGCGATCGTCGAGCAGTATGTGCTCTCGTTACCCTCTTGCGGGACAAGGCCATCGCCACTGGACGAGGTGATCATGTTGGTGCTGGCCTTGGTGCTCAGTCCGTAGATGTGCACGTCGGAGCAGTCCACCTCAACAATGTTCTCCTGGCAGGACTCCGTGGCCAGACATGTCTGCGAATAGTTGTCGAAGAAGCTGTAGAGACCGGCACCGTAGATGTAGGTCTCGGAGCTGTTGATGATACGGAGACCCCAGGCCTTGCGGCAGGAGTCGGTCGTGCAGTACGAGAAGTCGGGGTCGGACCAGGAGGTCTGCGGAGTGAAGGGAGTCAGAGCGTTGGGGTTGGCCTGGTAGTAAGGAGTCTCGGTCTGGATCAAGCCCATGAAGACGTTCTTGGCGTTAGAGACCTGGTAGTTGTACAGCTGGTTGTGTTCGGCAGCCGTGCCATACAGCCAAGCTGGACCCTGACTCTCGAGGAGGATACCGCGGCCGTTGTAAATGTTAATCTGTCCGTGGCCGGAAGCGTCAAGGTCGTGGTCAGCAGTCCAGAACCAGGTGTTCTCCAGGTAGACACTGGCGTTCTGGGTGGCGTGGAAGAGGAGGAAGGCGCCAATGCACTTCTCGTTGGGTGTGGTGGTCTGGCTGGGGGTCTTCGCGCAGGTGTCGGACTGAAGCTGAGTGCCGGCAGAGCCACCGATGCGGGCATGGACATCCCACATACCAACAGAGCCTTGGGAAGCAGCTTGGAGGTTCCACTGCACCAGGATGGCACCAGGAGCGGGGCCCTTGGTCTCCAGGACGAGGTCACTGATCTCAACGGAGCCAGACTCACCGGCCTCACCGACCTGGAGCATAGGGATGGGGTTCTTCTGGTCGGAGAACTTGTCGCCATACGCCATGAGCATGGGCCACACCTCACCAGTGATCTTGATGTTCTTGGGAACCTTGATGGTGTCGGTGATGATGTAGGCACCGTGGTCGAAGTACACGATCTGGTCCTCGGTGGCGTTGTTCAGGACGCTCTGGATGATAGCCGTGTCATCGGTGGTACCGTCACCCTTGGCACCGGCCGACTTGACGCTGACGAATGACGAAGCGGCATACGAACCGTACAAAGGCTTGGACTTCTCGAAGACACTGCCAGAGCTGGTAAGAAGAGAGCTGGCCATAGCCTGGGAGGGAATGGTGGTCTCGATACGGGTCTTGGTGACGGTCTTGGTTGAGCACTGGCCGGTGGAGTTGCTGGATGTACCGAAGTAGGATCCGGAAGACGAGGTGCTGGTAGCAGCCGAGGCAGAGCCGGAGCCCTGGGCGACGATAGAAGCACCGGCCGACTGGGAAGTAGGCTCAGCAGGAGTCGAGCCAGCAGAAGTTCCGGCAGCAGGGACAGAAGCCTCGTTGGTGGCCGTGGTGGCCTGAGAGGTTTCGCTGTCAAAACCTTCCCAGCTGTAGCTTCCAGCGGCGGGGTACTGCACAGACATCGACGACAGAGGCACCACACCACCAGCGGCGGTCGTAGTCGAACTCTCCGCTCCGACGTCAGAGGCAGTTCCGAACGAACCCGCAGCAGTTTCAGTGGCGTAGTCGGCACCGCAGGCTGTGATGGTCTCGGTGATAGTCTGGGTAATCACCTGAACATCCTCGGCCTGAACGGCAGGGGAGCGCTTGGTGACGGTGCTGTTGTTGTTGCTGTTGCTGCTGCTGCCCGGGGTGTAGACATTGCCCTGCACGTAGTTCGAGACAACGGACCCACCCTTGAGGATGGTGTCGCCGTTCACACTTGCAATGGCAACTGTTGAGCCGGAGAAGTCGACGTTTTCGAGGACCAGGGCACCGCCACCGGTGGGGATGCTGTCGCTGCTGAAGGCAGTCACGACACCAGTAGGAGTGCTAGTGAACGTGCTGTCCAGCATCAGGACAGACCCCACGGTCTGGTTGGACGGAGAGGCGGACATGTTGAGGCCGACCTGGCAGTTGTTGATAGACACCGACTTGAAGGTCCAGGCCCAGTTCCAGTTCATGTAGATGGCGGTGTTACAGTCGTTGAAGGTCAGGTTGCGGGTGGTGAACTGCTGGTTACCGAAGAAGGCACCATAGTTACCGCCGTTGAAGGTCAGGTCGGACATGAAGCCACCGGATCCGTTGTCCATGAAGATACCCTGCTGCTTGTTGTTGGTGCCACCCTTGACCATCTCGAAGCGGATGTTCTGCAGACTGGTGGCCTGTCCGACCTGCCAGTGGATACCAGCACCCGAGGAAGCGGGCATAGCGGTTAGATCAATGACGAAGTTGCGAACGGCACGGAAGAAGTTGTTCTGGTTGGTGTACCAGTTGTCGCCATTGCTGTCGTAGGGGTCGGCATCAATGACGGCCATACCGCTGAAGCTCGAGGCAGCCTTGAGGACAGGCAAATCGTTGGCATCGCCGACCATCTGGGTGTAGTAGTACTGCACAATAGGCTTGGACACCACGTAGGTACCTGCGGGGAAGTACACTAGGGCTGGGGTAGTGGTAGACGAGTCACAACCGGAACCACAGCGGCCACCAGAGGAGATGGCCTTGTTGATCGCATCAGTATCATCGGTAGATCCGTCACCTGCAGTAGTCAGCATCAAATACCAGCCATGTAAGGAGGTCTTACTCACCCTTGGCACCATAATCCTTGACGTTGCGGTAGATTGCATAGCTGCTCGTGGTGTTGCCAAAGGGCACAGTGCCCTGACGCTTGATCGTTCCAACCCAGTAGTCGGAGGCGCGCACCGCGAGATGCGATGTCACGTCGACAGACCCGGCCGTAGGGACAGCATTGACCAAGGCCACTGGCACACTCAGTAGCAGACAGACGTACGACACAAACAACATGATGGAAGTGTGGAGAGACGCCATCGTCAAGACAGCGAGGTTCACTGGACCGGCAGAGAACTGAAGAGCGAGAAGGGACAGTAATATAGTAAGGAGGAACGCTGACGAGCGACCAACACTTCAGTAACCAGTACTGAAGTAATATCCAGACACGATCGTGTGAGCACCAACAGAAGTGGTCTGTCACACGACGGGGTCAGACGGTGGACTGGATAGGATGTTGTACTTGGAGTAGTAGTAAGTAGGGAAGAGCAAGGAATGTATGGGGGCGCAAATCAGCCGCCAGGGGAGAAAGATGTAGTAGAAAAGGAATGAATGTAATAAAACACACAAAAACACAACACACACAGCAAGACAGTAACACTCGGAAACTGCCTCTTTCCGACGACAAAGACAGACACAACTGACGAGGGAAAAGAAAGGACGGGGGAAAGAGAATAAAAAAGAAACGACAAAGCTAGGATATGAAGGGAACGGCCGATGTAAATGAAGGTTATTACACCCGGGATAAAGTGGAGGGGGGAGGGAACAGAAGATTTGCTGGCACCCGCGGGAGGGACCAATGGATCCAGGCACACAAACTTGCCCCGTTCCTGACCCGACGATTGGTTCTGGCTGGACTGCGATGCCTTGTCCGTCGCTGGAAATTACTGCTTGACTATCGCCAGATGGTGGAGGTCCGTCTGCAAGAAAAGCTGCTGAAGGTCCAATCACGCGCCCCGATCGCTCCACTCACACCAATTAGCTGCGATAGTCGTCGTCTGCCGACCGCTGCTTGAAACGCCTGGGTCAGGGGATGAAACGAGTCGATAAAGCACTAGACGGGGGTCAGTCGGGATTCATTGGTGGCAATCTTTCTAGCGGTCGCTTGCTATAGACATGATATTCCTCGTAGCGGGAGTATTGCACTCTGCCGAACTGCCTGGAGTCATGCATGGTGGGCCATGCAGAGAGCTTGTGTGTGGTGAAGATGGTGGTGATGGTGGGGAGAAAGTGCGGGAGGGGACAGTCTGCAATGGACTAATTACCTACCGAAGCTCGCGTGTGTAGTTGTATACACTCACACACACGCACTACTATACTAGTCCTACTCCTCAATACTGGTGGGCCAGATAGTCTAGGCTGCCGGATATTCAAGGAACGACCGAAGAGAGCGAATGGCAGAGAGTCGTGGGACTCTCTACTAAACCGTAACTAGTGACTGAACGAGGGATAGGCTACCTCCCAATGCTGCGTAGGCGACAAAGAAAACGAACGAAATCTGATCCGATCCGAAAAGCACAAGCCCAGGGAGTCGGAAAAGGAGAGGAGGAGGTGGCAGGAAGAGGAGGAAACAAGCCAAAGGAAAAGATCAAAATCCCCAGTCGATCAGCGGACCCGGTAGACTAATATACCTGGCAGGGTTTTGATCAACATATTCGCCGTGGCCCAGATCGAAGACAACTGGGCATTTCAATCGCTCGGCCATGGCTGCAGAGCCGATCGTCCGGCATGGCTTGTTGCTGCTGGAATTCGCCCGTTTGACAGCGCGCCAGGGCAGCGAGCTGGTCGCTACGCACTAGACTCAGGCATTGGTATGGATGGCGAACCCTGTGGACGGAACACCTCCTCTGCCATGCTGCATTTGACCCGCCATACGGTATGTCTCGATGGGGACGAAATTTCGGGCTCTCCTCACCAGTTTTCCACTGTGATTGCAGTGCTGGGGGAGGCTGCCTGATCGAGCAGGTCTAGACATTCCTCGTGGTCCATTGTTCCCCCGACGCCAGTCTGGGCAGTAATGTCGGTGCTCCCGGGCAGCCGTGGCATCCTCATCTCGATAAGCTTCACTTGCTGCGTCAGATATATCTAGTCCATGGCGAGAAAGCTAATTGTTCCATTGGCAGAGCCATAAGTACGTATACTCTCGGCGGATTATACTTTTGTACATGCTGTTTTAAGTATAGAATTAGTCGTCAGCCAGTCCCTTGGATTCAAGGTTGGTAGATACCTTGACTCAGGCGGGAAGAAAAAAAGGTTGGTCCTGCATGGACGGGTGGGCCCGGGCGAGGGAAAGAGAGGCGAGAAAGTGAGAGTGAGCTGAGGGGGGATCATCCAGGGGCAAAATCCAGAAATTAACTAACCATTTCTCTCCCACCAATAAAGAATGGGTTAAGGGTTAACTGGTGCTCTACTTACAACTTGAATCTCCTTCTCATATAGAGGTTACATGATACTACAAAGTAGATAGATAGCCAAGTCCACGGTCCGATATGTCTCAGTCTTCCCGTCTCTTTTCCCCTCGATCGAGATAAAAATATCCTACACGGTGGGTAAGGAATCAGTGCACCAAGCTTTCCGCAGAGGAGACAGTCTTCTTCCTTAATTAACCCAACCCGACTGATCGGCCGCTAACCTTGGGTCGTGGTCTGCCCGTGAAACACCTAGTCATCAACTAGTCTAGCCTCGGCAGCAGCAGTAATCACCTGCATGGTCCAGAAAGTTGTACAGCGTTGCGGACTCGACCAAAAGTCCTGATTATCTAGACGGTCGGCCCGGAAGCCGGATTGTTTGTTGAACTCCGCCATGTTTGGATGATTTAGCTAGACAACGATTCTGGGTTTGGAACGCGTGAAGAATGTGTGCGGTGCCCGTCTGATTCCGCAGCGGCATCCCTTGGCACAAGGAGTTATTTGACGCGTCCATTCCGGGCAGGAAAAAAAAAAAAGACCAAGGTTCCTCAAGCATTGTGCTGCAGGAGTAGGCGCTGAACAATGTGTGTCGGGAAAGCGTGATGTTTGGCCTGTAGCCAGTGATTCCAAAAGTGCCCTGACTGCGCTACTGCGGTCTATATATGCAAGTTGGCTGCAGGTGCCGTGCAGATGCTCGCCCCGAGTCATCTGCCTTCCCCGGCCTCGCGCCTTGACTGGCCGCCCACCGCCTCCGTCCGCATCACTCGACCCCAGGCCATTCTTTCTCATCTTGCGCCAAGGAGAGATAATCTGGGGCGTGACGAGTTTTCAACCTTTCGGCACTGACTGACTATCCTGTAACGGGGTGTGTGGTTCGTCCATAATCAACAACATACTACAGTTCTTCCAGACCAAGGTCGTAGGCGGTCCGATCCGCCCGTCCACCCTTGGTAGCCATCATCGCAGCGGCCGCCAGCATTGGGTTTACTTGAGAGCTTCACGAATGACCGATGCAAGTCGACGCACCCCCTCTTCGAGCTTATCCTCCCGCTCCCACGCGAAACAGAGGCGCATACCGTCGTCAAAATCGTTCTTGTCTCCTGCCGCATCTCCATCTATCCGAAAGACATTACCAGGTGCTACGATCAAATTCTGTTCGCGCAGTGCGATGGGTACAAGCTCGCTCGACCGTAATGGGTGTGGGAGTCGAAGCCAGATAAAGTAACCCCCTGCCACATCAGGAACTGGGGGAAGCCCCACGCCGAGGGGAACAAGATGCTCACGTATGGCAGACATCATCCGGTGGTAGCGGCGGGCGTACGCCGGTTGCAAAACACCGCCAATGAAGTCTTGTACAATCCCCGTGGGGAACAGCTGCGCGATGATAGCGGCGCACATATGCGATGGTGCGCCTCCGGACCGGCTTGAGCCTCTGTCCAGGGAAAAGTTAGCCTACCAGGTAGGGGAGAGTAAAGCAAGGGACAAGCGAGAGCAGCCAGCAAGACCACCTCACGGGATCACGCACGCTTGTGACAGACCATACGCTACCTTCTCGGTAGCCTCCGCCCAACCTGTCCGCATTCCGGGTCCGATCAGCTTGCTGAAACTTCCATTGCTCACTACATTACCCCAGTCATCCCCGGGTCCCCCATCCAGATAGCGGTCCACATCCACCAGACGGGGTAGATGCGCCCTGTTGGGCTGCGGTAATGTCTTAGCTGGGTCGGGTGACCACTGAAGGAAGTCATAGACATCATCGGCGATGATCAAGGCGTCAAATTCTCGCGCAAGACGAACCAGATTCTCCCGATCAGGCAAGGACATGGTGAGCGTCGACGGGTTGGAAAAGGTGGGGGTAGCGTAGATGACATGCTTGTAGACTTTACCCCATGGCCTAGTAGGTTTGTAGTTCTGTAGGAGTCAGTCATATGAGCCATTGCAGTCCCCTTAAACCCTCAAAATGCAGGACGTAAACGTCCATCTGCAGACCAAAGCAAACCAACGTACCGGTGCGTTATTATTTTCCCTCCTTGCCCGCTCCTCGGCAATAAGCAGCTCCTGTTGGAGATAGGCCAAATCCAACCCCGCATCACGCTGGGGAACCGCCCTCAGGCGACCAGTGAACCCGGAATCATCGAAGATGCGAAAGGATAGATGATAGGCGGGTGCAACCATCCAAACATTGCGTGTGTAGACAGGATCAGTAAAGACCTGCAGGATACAGGCTACATTCTGACTGGCGCCACCCGTGATGCAAATGCGTTCGGGAGTGATGCGGTCGCGTGGCTGGTAGAACGTCGTTAGCCAGCGAGCGATGTGTTCGCGCAACGGCTGGTACCCTTCATCAGGGCCATACATCAAGGCCGGTGTCCAAATGGCCGGGGTGGCCAACACTTTCGCAGAGGCCTCAGCCAAGGCCGTCGTGGGCAGCAAGGCGGGGTTGGGCCAACCACGGGAAAGATCGACCTGCTCAATGTCCATGATGTTGGTTGGTTGGTTGCGTGACAGGTCCAAGTACTACGAAATAGTAGTAGATAGTATTTCTTTGAATAGTGATTAGATCGGTGACTTGGATTGATTTGGTGATGAGTAATGGTAGTCGTCAGAAGCTCCAATATGCGGGGCCTGGCACGTATAACAGCAACTGTTATATATTATGTGTTGTCTCAGGTAGTGGTGTGGTTTGTCTTCCGTCGCTATATAAATTGATAACGATAGAGTGACTCTGGATGATGAACGACTCTACTTTCCCAGAACAGTCCTTGGCAGTCACCAAAGAAGTTAGTGGACTTAATTGGGGTGATATAGTATCTCTATCCAGTCACAAAATTAGTAAGTCAATGATGACTCGTTAGTCAAGAGAAAAGCATCGCGTAAGTAAGCGGATCAGGAGGGGCATTCATCCATGACTTTGGTGTGACTTCGGCTTCTGGAAGCAGTCTAAAGGGGGGAACAACGGAAGTTCCGTAGCCGACGGGACCAAGTCACGGGGTATTTGTTCAGGGCGCGGGGCAGATCCTGTCTTCGCACCGCCCGATGCCGGTGCGGCATCTTCAGGGCGCTCGGTCACTCCCCGTCAGGAGGAAAGAGGAGGATGAAAAGAACGGGCTAGTTTTGGAGATTAGATGGAGCAGTTTCAGAGGAGCATATTATCCATTATCTCTGTACGAAATAGTTAATATAACATTATTGATTATTAATTATCTATTATGATTATCGATTATGCAATAATTAACTACTGGGGAACGGTTGGTTGGAGTTGAGAAACCTTGACCACAGTAAGTACTACTAGTACGTATATAGGTAGTTGCCCCAAAGGGGTTGGCTGCTCGGGAGTTATGCAAAAGATGCGTGAGGCGGGCGCTCCGGGAATACAGACGGGGTACTATACATAAAGGAGCTGCCTGAGGTCCCAAGGCCCAGATCAATAAGGATGACACGTCCATTCCCCAAAGTAAAACACCCATGGCTCACCCGGATCAATCGAAATGGGCTACGGGGTCAAAGACCCGATCGGACAACGTCAACCTAGGCATCACTTTCAGGACGCAGTAACTTACGTATGTCCGAGTGCGTGGCTTCTATTTCCATGTCGGGTAATGCAGGCACAGCGCTAGAGATGAAGCATCTCTCTTCTGAGTTTTCCCCGTACAGTAGCGCCGCTGGTTAGCGCCTCTACTTAAGCAGGCAAGCCAAGCAAGGGAAAGAATCGCATAGAAATGAAAAGGAAGGAAAAGACAGAGTAGTGAGTAAGTACGGAGTAGATACTAGCAAACAAATTGGAAAAAAAATAGAATAAAAAGTAAAAGTAGGTACCACGAAGGACCGGTGGTGGTGGCTACTATTCTTAGCTTCTCCCTCCCTCTCCCTCCCGCCTCTTTTAGGTCTAGTAGCTTAGATCTTCCCAATAAGTTGCCTCTCTGGCAGGACGACTAGTAGATATTTTCTCTTGTTTATTACTTGCCAGTCCAATGAAAGAGGACAAGGCAAGCATGGCGTACTGATCTATCCATCGATTGGTACTGATTAACGATGGCGAGCTGTCGGTTTCTCTGCAGTGGAAATTGTCGGCAGGTTTTCTCGCTTGGCTGGATTCCAGTGCGACGTGCCAGCGGCAACTCAAGGTATGTTGTGTGAGTTTGTGGTAAGCATGGCGGAGTCCGATAGCCCCTGGATCGGAGATGCCAATCCACCTGTCATGGCTGCGGTGCCTCTCCTTTTGTCACAGACTTTCCGGTTGTAGACTAAGGTCGTAATCGCGCAGGTTTTCACTGGGCCAGAAAGGGGAGAGTGCGCTTTTTTTTTCAAACTACTATTACTACTAACTTCGAAGAGGGACCGTGTAGACGGATCCAAGCAGACTATATATTAAATGGTGAGGTAGACAAGTCAGTCGGAAACATGACCGACCAAGGAAACGGATCGAGTCCCGTCCATGGTTGGCCGAACCGGAGAAGAGAGAGGGGTGGAAATCAATGGCTGACTCTGAAAGGAGAATCAGACTATGAATGAGGAGACCCAACTTATGAATGGGAAAGCGCTTGTATCG